GCCTCCAAGCCCGGCGCGGACGCGCCGGGCGTGTTGTCGTCGCTGGCCTCTCTGGCCGAGACCGCGGCCGAGACCGCGGAGGAGGTGCGCGACGCCGTGTGCGACACGGACGCCGCCCGCGCCGTGCTCGCGCACCTGCGCGCCGCGCGCCGCGCCGCGGCCGCCGCCGCAGCCGTCTCGTCCAAGGTCGCATGGGTCCTTGGTACCTCCGCCCTCGTCCTCGTCGTCCCGCTCCTCTACGAGATCGACAAGGAGATCGGCCCCGACGTCCCCGCCGCAGACGCCCCGCCGACCGCCCAACCCGCTGCCGCCGCCGCGCCCGCGTCGTCGTAGCGAGAGCCCCCGCATAGGCTGCGCCCTTTTTTGCGGGCGCTAGCGCGTCTGCGCTGAGCGCCGCGCGGCCGCTTCGGGACGGCCGCGCACAGGGACTATCAGGGTCGCCGTGCTCATCAATTGGTCGCGTTGTGGCGTGCAGGCACACCTGCCTGTCATTCACCGCCCTGTTTGTACTTACCATACGAAATTCGCCATTGCTCAATTATGTACAGACCTCAGCGCCCGTGCCTGCGCCTCGCCCTCGACTTTCCATGTGTAACCCTCTCCACGCCCTAGTCTTTGCTATCTATCGCGACCGACTGCCAAAAAACAAAAAACCCTCCCCTATGCGCTCCCCTTGCGATCCGATGGCCGATGCCCGTCCATCTTCTTCCCCGTCTTCCTATCCTTGCCGTCCGTGGCGGGCACTTTGATCCCCTCGGGCGTGATGCACTCGCCCTTGTGGTACCGCCCCTGCCCGTGGCACCCGATCAGGTTCGCCACCTCCTGCATCGGCACCACGTAGCTCGACTTGACCCCCTGCTTCACACCCTCTTCGTATTGCTTGCCAAGCTGCCACAGCTCTGTCATGTCCCCGTGCAGTGAGCCAGTCGATAGCGCCATCCCCCTATGCCTATTAAACCCATGGAAAGTCAACACGAAAGGGAACTTCTCCCGGTGCTCCAGCTTCCACGGCGCCCGGCAAATCCCCCTCGTCAGCAGCGTGCGCGCCCCCTTCGTGTAACGGTTCACGCACATGTACAGCCGCTGCGACCCGCAGTTGCGGCAGAGCTGGGACGTCTCCCTCTCGCACGTCTCGATCTTCGGCCGCAGCGCCTCCACCAGCGTGCGCGACAGCACGATCGCCGCCCCCTGCGGCACGGCGGGGCACCCCAGCTTGCAGAACGTGTCTCCGCACATGTGCGACACCTTGTGCGCGATCCGCCGCCCGTTCAGCACCTGGCTCACCCCGTACTCGACGTGCGACCCGCGCAGTTTCAATGGCATGTCCTCCGTGGGGAAGTAACAATGCTTGCCCCCGTGCTTCTTGTTCAAGCCGCGCAGCCACTCCGCAAATTGCCCGCTGTCCCCGTTGTCGATCCGCGCCTGCTCCCCAGACCCGCCCCAGAACGGCACCCGCGCGTCAAACTTGGACAGGTACTCCCGCATCCCACCAGGGAACACAAACGTGTCATCATCGACAAGCGCTAGCCATTTGATATCCTTGTTGTGCTTCATCGTCCGGTCCCAGCTCTCACGCACGCGAACGAGATGACTCCAAGACTGCATTAGCGGCAGCCGTAGCTCCAAGCTGGGGTCGTGCGGCTGTGTCACCACCGTATTCCTTCCTTTTGCCGCCCTCATTTCCTCCTCGTTGCGCTTGGCATTCGTAAAAATGGTCAGCCGGTCCTGCGGCACAGCCGTCATCCACGACTCTGTCTGTGCGGCCACCCTTTCATCGAACGTCGGTTGCCCCGCCAAGATGGCGTAAAGCACCTCTCGATCCGTCAACAGCTTGGGCGTGAGCATCCCCCCCGCCTCGTCAATCACATGCACCGTCGTCCGGCACCCCTTCCTCTCGTTGATCTCGTTGGCAACCTTGATGAGCCCCCCTAGCCCATTCTTGGGATCAAACCTGGCATCGACTGGCGGAGTCACCAGCGAACCCCATGCCCTTTTCACATCGGAATCGTCAATATCGCCCTCACTCCCCGTCGACATCAACGGTATCTTCTCCAAATTCAACACTACCCTATCCACCCTCTTACACATCAACCCATCCCCGCGATGCGCCTCTAGCAACCCGAGCTCCCAAAAGGCCTCTCGCACATGCTCCACATTAAACCTCACAACGACTGAGCCGCGATTCCCGTTTTCCCTCGGCGTGACCATATGCTTTACCTCCCTCCCAGACTCTTGCCATTCAAACGTCAGCTTGCGCAACGTGTGCCGCACATCGATGCTCTGTACCTTGATCTCCTCCACGACCCGTGGATCGTCCTTCGCCACGAGCCGCACCCGCTCGCTGACGTTGAGCCTCCCAGGCACGACGCCCGAGTACACGTGAAAGCGATGCGTCTTTCGCCCGCGATCGGCGCGCACCTTGCGCAAGTATGGCTCCATAGCCGGATGGCCATGGAAAGCGTACGCGCAAAATCCGTGGCTCGCCGATTGGGTGGCGCGCAGATAATCCTCGAGAAAGCCATTGCCGTTGATGAAAAAATTGCTCAAATGCCTGCCATCCTTGGCTCCAAACTCTAGGTAGAGCCACGAGCACGGAGTAAAGGCACCAATATCGAGGGCTGGCTGGCGCGGGAGGAACATGTGGACGTTCTTGGTAAAGTGTGAGGACTCGCGGTCCGTGCCGCGGTCACGCCAGCGATGGAGGTAGCCATGCGGAGGGCGCGCGACGTAGATGACGACAGTGAAGAGAAGGATAAAAGCAAAGAAGAGGAATATGAAGAGGATGTCGCGCCGCGCCGGGCGGCCGCGACGCAGGCGGAGGAGAAGAAGACGCGTGTCGGTGCGGAGCGTGCGGAATACACGGCGCCGCGACTTGTTGAAGTTCGTCACGACGCGGGCGGCAGAAGCGGGGAGCATTGCGGGTCGCGTGGAGGGGTGGGAAGGAGAGAGGGGGACCATGGAGGCGGGACGGTGATGCCAGCAGCTGAAATCGGAGGAGCGGGGGCGTGGAGCAGGAACGGAGAGTCACAGAGTCGACGAGGAATTCGCGGAGCGATTGGAAATGACACAGTCTCGCATTGCTGTGTCCTGCTGACGGCCCGACATACAGGGCGGTCGCATGAATCGAACAATTCTTGAGGTTTTTGACTTTTCTTAAAAAAGAACACCCCCTGCACTTCTACTTCGCCCTCCCCTGCACCGTCACACCTTCCTCCTCCTTCTTGCTTCCTCTTTCCTTCTTCCTCTCCTCAATCTTGTTTAAATTCTACACATCCCTCAAACCATCCCTCTCACAATACACAAAAACACTACTCTAAAACTATTAACTCCAACAGGCTACCCTTGTCCGCCCGCCCCCGCCGCGCGATCTAAAAAGTCCCGCGCTGAATCCACGCGCCTTCTGTCATCACTCACAGCTTCCGCCCGACTTGACATACCGTCGTTAGGAATACTCTCTCCGGCCACGTGCCATAAACCAATAGAGTTGGATCCGTTCGGATAGATCAAACTTCCCATTGTGCCCACGTCCCCCACCACCGCCGCTGTCCGTGACAGGATGTTTCCTCCACCACGTCTATACATTTCCTTCTTCAGGCTTCCCACTCCTTTCACCTCTTCACCTCTACATTCTCCGTTCCCCCCCATCGCACCATTTGCAGAAGTCACAACACTGTGACCAACCTGTCCGCTTCCCATCTGTGATGAGCCTTTCATAAACACAATTCCATCTCCCCCATTCGCATCCTTTGTGCTATCCGAACCTACTACACTTTGCATCTCTCTCCTCTCGCTTCCTGCATGTCCGCCGCCCCCAGCTGCCTCACCCTGCACCCGCGCCATGGGAAGGCCCCAGTCACTTTGCCGTTCGCATTTACCTCCCTCCCCTGAACCTATCCCACTTCTTGTTCCCCGAATAGCCCCATCTTCCCTCTCCGCTTCTCTGCTGACCTTCCAAGCCCACGCCCGTTCCCCATAGATTGCGTTATCGTTATCCAACTTGCCGGTTCCCCATTCTACTGTCGCGTCCACTGCCTTCTCAAGTCTCTGCCTCTCTATGCCACCATGGTAGCTCCCGTCTCCTGCTGTCTTTGTCACCTGAATCTGCCCCGTTACAGACATCATCTTTCCACCTGTAGTATAAACGTTCGCCGACGATATATTTGCATTGTGAGTATATGTCGCCGATTGCAATGTTGTTGTCCCCGGGCCTCGAGCGCCTATTCTCTTACTCACCTCTTTCCCACCTATATCAGCGTTTCCTCCCGCCCCACCACTTCCTGATCCTGGATTCGCTCCCGTTTTCCCTCGAAGCATCGCAACCTCTCGCCGCAACGTCTCGTTGTCATTCACGAGTTGCTGAATTATGTTCTGCAGTTGTCCCAGCAACGAATCTGACCACTTCGCCAAGCCACTGGTACTGTTTCCTGTCGATTGCGAGTCAGGCTGTGGTGAAGCTAATGGCGTTCCCTGTCGCGATGCAGGAATTGAGCTGGAAGAAGACGGCGGCCCTATGTTCACTATTTGAGGAACAGTCGGACTTATTCCATTCGCAAGAGGTGGCGGACGTGATCGTTGCTCAATATCCTTGACTTCAAATCGGCTCTTTGGTTTCACCGATGGCGTACTCCCGCTATGTCCTGGCACACGTGGTAGCCCACTCGTAGATGCGTTGCTGGCCGTTTCACTCATAACCGCTACTCCCCCACTGCTCGTATTTGTAGTCATGTTGCTGGTCGACGGCCGTTCGACATCCTTCACCTCAAATCTACTCTTCCGCCGTGGAGCATTGCTGAATGAAGAATTTTGTGACCCACCTTGTCCACTGCTTGCACCACTGCTTTGTATATTCCCCTTCTGCGTACTTGACGCAGGGATTGTGGTCTGTGCGACACCTGCATGTGCAATGTTCAAAGCAGCGGCACCTTGGGGTGCATGCAACACTTTCGGATTCATCTGAATGTTGCTTTGCTGAACAGATGATATGCCAGTACGAGCCACTGGAGTGCCTTGCGGTAGGGCGGTCACGTTGCTGCTCCCAACGCCGCTCCCAGCAGTACTCTGGATGACTACAGGCGCATTCGGGGGCGGCTGGGCAAGCGCAGCGTCTGGACCACCAACTGCGACGGGCTTCCTGATCGCCGTTCCCATTTGGACGTTAGACGACTCAAAAGACAGTACTTGGCCGGCCTGCTGCAATAATTGCTTAGTCGATTGCGGCACTTTGGGTAGGCCCGTATTACTCGTCGTCCCGCTGGATGTAGCCACAGCTCCTTGCGTGGTGGCACGGTACAACTCTCGGCTGGGAATAGAGTAATGGCTCAGCGGTATTGTCGTAACTTGAGTCTGCATCCCCATATGACCACTTCTTCCAACATCCGAAACCACAGAGACCATGGCTTTGGCTGGTGGTGCCGAAGGAATTGTATGAATTTTCAATGGGGCTTGTCCACTTGGAGTCTTTGGTCGCGGATTTTCGCTCGCAAATAGTGCTCGCGATTGAGTCAGTCCGTCGCTTGAGACGTAAGCACTCGACGGAGTCACTTGCTGGCTATTAGAGCCTGCGGAAGCAGGAGACGACAGCCCCAGTAGACTGTTTGGTTGTGGTTTCTTTTGAACCACCGGTTGGGTTCCTGTGAGTACTGTCCTCGTGTCTGCATTAATGACAACTGGTGCCACTCCTGAAATGAAGGAGCGCTCGCGCCCCGGTGCCCCTGCCACAGCTGCAGCATACGTCGTCACAGACGCAGGTTTCGAAACGTTCACAATCCGAGGTTTGGTAGGTGAAATTGGAGGAAAACTCGACTTCGCCCCGCCGGGTGCTCTCAAGTCGCTTTCTGACGCGAGCTGCTGAGTGGCCGCAGGCATCCCCATGCTAGGTGCGCGTCGATCATCTTGCGTACTATATATTGGTCCTTGGCTTAAGACAGGTTGCGATGTTCGGCTGTGTGGCACCTGCGATGTGTCAGGTTGCCGCGTACTCGAGATTGCTGGTTCACGATCCCGAACGCTCTGAGGCAATACTGCTGACGCCGGTATCATTGGGGTATCTTTTTCGCCACCCTCCATAGCTGAAGCAGGTTGGGAAGCCACTGCCTTTTGGCCGGGGGAGTTACGATCGAGAAATCCGCCAATCTTGCCATCTAACCTCTGCGGATTTGGTACGTCCGAAACGGTGAAGCGTCCTTTCCGTAATTGACCTACTGTCTTTGCCGGAACACTACCAATCCACCCTGTTCCACCTTGTTTGCCTAAGATCGAGACGTGTTCAGGGAAAGCAGCTGCGGTTGAGGAATGCGGCGCAGCGTTTGGTGTGTCCTCGGCTGGTAACACAGGCAAAGATGAAGTCCTCCCGTGGAAGCCAGTGCTATTCTTCTCCGACGATTTGTTTGCCACACGGGCCGCGAGATTAGGCTCAGAGGAACTTTCCGGAACGAGCCCAGCGTCTGGCGAGGCGATATTCAGCGTTCTCAAAGCGTGCATATCTGCCAACGAGGAATTTTCGTGGGGCATATGCTGTGCTGTACCCGAGGACGCGCCTAAGGTCGGTAGCAGTGGGGCGCTTACTGCCGCCGTGTTTGAAGGCACTTCGCCTCCCGACGCCCCTGCTCCTTCAGCTATTGGTGAGGGCGACTTACCCTCTGCTTCGCCAAAGTCCCAACCCAGTCCCTTCGCAGAACGATCGTAGATGCCCGAGCGATGGGGAGCGGCCACCTTCTGAAGCTGGCGAATCAGTTGCTTCTGGGAGCCACCTCTCGAGCCGATGGGTGGCAACTTGGCGATAGTATCTGCTAACGAGTTGGGCTTGACGACGCCATTTGCGAAGAGCGGGTGTTTCAGGAGCTGCTTTGCCGAGGGTCGAACCTTGGGGTCCTTTTGGAGACAGGAGGCGACAAAGTCTTTGTACTTTGCAGAGTATTGATCTGCAGTGGGTCCAGAAATGGTGGGAGGGGCGTTCTGCATGGTGAGAAACAAGACCTTCATTGGGGCGTAATTGGTGTAAGGAGCACGACCTTGCGCTAGTTCAATAGCTGTGATTCCCAGAGACCAAATATCAGCTTTGTAATCATATCCGTCACCTTGCATCATGACCTCCGGTGCCATCCAACAAGGGGTTCCAACAAAGGTTTGCCGTTGCTTGCGATCCAAGCCTCCTTCAACCATCCAACCCATCATGCCGTAGTCCGCGAGCATTGTATTGCCGTTGGAATCAAGTAGTAGGTTTGCGGCTTTAACGTCGCGATGCATTTGACCGTTGCCATGGAAGTATTCAAGCGCCTTGAGGACACACCACAAAACATAGCGGGCGTATTCCTCAGGCAAGCCTTCGCGATAGGCACAATTCATTAGAGAAAGCACAGAGCCACCAGTGAGAAGAGGCATGACAATCCATAGATCGGTACCTTCTACAAAAGCGGTCGAAAAGGGGACAACGTTTGGATGTGAAGAAAGACTCATGACTTGAATCTCGCGGCCGATGTCCTCCAGGGAAGCTTGTAGCCACTCAAGCTCAACAACCTTGATGGCGACCTCGTCCTTGACATGGTCGCACCATGCTCGATAGACGGCGGCACAAGTGCCGATACCGATCTGCTCTCGAAGTTCGTAGCCCACGGCTCTGGCCGGTAGACGGCGTTGCGAAGGGGAGGAAGCCATTTGTGAAGCGAAAGGGGGTGAAAGGGGGGAAGAGTTAGAGCAAGTTACGAGCTGGGACGCGACATTCAAATAGCGTGTGAGGCGTGGGGTGCAAGGTGAAGAAGCACACAGTGACGGTAGAGGATAAAAGGATTGAAGACGGAGACAAAAGGATGTTGGAAGGAAGTGGAGTTGAGATTGACGTTTGACAACGGCGAGGGGCGGGAGGGCGGGGATAGAATCACACGGTCGAGGGTATGGATTTTCAGCGTGAGAAAATTTGAGCGGGTCACGGCCTGGCTCCACAGCTGCGGTTGGAGACCGTGCCGAAAATCGCCATTCTTGACATCCTCTTCGCCGTTTTGGCCCACAGCGCGACACTGTCTTTCGTCCATTCACTTGCTAATTCAGTCTGGGCACTTGTAATTGAACCGCTCACACAATCCCAAATTTCATTTTTCTTCCCTCCACCCTCGCAACCACACTGCAACTGCATCATTCTCCCCCTCGCTGCCGTTTCACGTGTACACGTTTCAATTGACACAGTTCAGTTGAGTACTGTACGTACACCTCTAACTCATACTGTAACCCTGCCAACCACATCCATCTCTACCACCACACACCTCCTCCTCCCAACTCCCTCCTCCCCACAGCTGCCTCATCATTCCCTCCCCTGAATCCCATCTTCGGTGTCGTCCCCCTTCCCTCCGCCCTTCCCCCAGCCGCACCTCGCGATGCTGCGTCGCGCGCTCGTCCCCGCTCGCGGCGTTCTCCGTCGCGCCCTGTCGGATGGCCCCACGACACGTCGCCCACGTATGCACCAACCGCTCGGCAGCGTCCCCGCAGGCACGGATCCGGAGCTCGTGCGATCCAAGTGGGGATCCGATGCCATGGACAAGATCCAAGAGACCGCTGCCACCGAGGTCGATGGAGACGTCGCCGCTTGCAACGGAGGCGGTGGCGCTCTCGGACACCCCATCGAGTACATCAAATTGTTGGTGTCCGACGAGGATGCCGGCCCACAAGTCTGCAAGTATTGCGGCCTAAAGTTTCTCAGAAAGCATCACCAATGACCGCCAGCATGCGTCGCGTCTGCAGCTAGATGCTTGTCGTCCAAACGTGTCGTGACATGCATCAGAACCGAGCCAAAACGCGTGCGAAGCTGAGATCGCATTTCAGCAGGCGCGTCATCGTTTGCACTTGCTCTTACTTCTTCCTTGTGCGGGGCGCGATCGTTCCACCGCACGGGTTGCGTCTCAAGGAGAGGCTAACCTACGAAGATCAGGGCGACACAACACTAGCGCATGCCTAGATATAGACACGCTCGATTATAAACTGGATTTTTTTTTTTTTTTGCAAAGTCGCCAATACACTCACGTCTCCACATCCACAGAGCCTCTTCCTTTCTCGTCATCCCTAGATTGCTATCACCAAATCGTCGGACACCTGGCGCGTTAACATGTGGCAGGTATTCTCCGCAATTCAAAACCTACACACTCATGGCAGAAAAGGCTCCAACGTGGGACACCTCCGCATCGGAGGCCACTGCCGCTGAGCAGCATTCTGTTACTGCGCTGCGCAACTCGGTATCCAAACTATCGGCAGAGGTGGCCCATCTCGAGTCACAAGTGCAAGCCGCGGGCGGGCGCGCCGTCGTCCTTCCGGAAGACCTCGGAGATTTCCGCACCGCCACCCCCCGCATCCAAGGGCTAGTGACGCGGATCCTTCAAACACATGAACTGTCCCAATCAATAGCCTCTTTGCAAAACAATCGTCGCGCGCCCCCAAAACCGGATCCGTAAACTACTCTTGCTGATCTCTCCCTTGCTTCTCCATTTCCAGCAGCGCGTCGAGAAACGCGCGCAAGCCGTACATGCTCATGTTCGGCGGCGTGGGCATCTCAAAAGAGCGGATGAGCTCCGCGGCCTGCCCCGACCGCAGCGCATGTGAGAGCGCCACAGCTTGAGCTCGCAGAGGGGGTGACCGCAAGATCTCGGAGATCTGCGAGACGGAGCGGTCTTGCTCGGGCAAGTGCTGGAGCAAATCGGGTAAAAGGGCCTGCAGTCTCTCGTCAGTCAAGGATTCAGCGAGAGCTTCGGGGTTGAGCAGATCGCTCAGAGAGGGCGTCGTCACGATGAGCTCCCGCTGCGCGTCGGCGAGAGAAGCTCCGCCTCGAGAGGGAAGGGCGGCTCGCATTTGGTCCAGTGTGATGGGCTGGAAGGCGGAAGGTGCGGGGGAAGTCGGTTGCGGTGGCGCAGCCGTTGAGGGGGCGGAAATCGGAGCGGGGGCAGGGGCCTGGGCCACAGCGGGAGGCTCGGGGGTCGCGGGGGCGGGACCCATGGGTACATCTCGGACGACGGAGGGTGCAACGGGGATTTCGGATGGTGCGGTGGGTGTGGAGGACATAAGTGGTGAAGTCTGAAAAGATTGCGGAGTGCAGGTGATTGGTAACGGTAGGTAGTAAGTAGAAACGAATTCGAAAGTAGAAGATGGGAAGAAATCATTAGTACGGACAACGAGAAGTTTACTGACTCGATGAAAGGGCTTCGAATAGCAACCTTTGGTTGAGTTTGAACAGTATGTACAAGCAAGCGAGGATGCGGGGTGAACTATACCTGTGCATTATCTAGCCCATTGGTGAGGATGTTGTTAACCTGGGCGACGATGGCCTCGTCCCTGGACGCATCCTTCCCCTGCATCCAAATGAAGAACCTCTGCGACTCGCCGCGCCACTTGAGGACATAGACGCGGGCCGAGGCGGGGGCGGACGTGACCAGCTTCAGCTCGTTGTCCGGCGGGAAGAGGATGAGATCGTGTTCGATGGTGGACGAGTTGCGCGGACGCCATTGCCAGTGCAGCAAGTTCTCTTCGTTTACCAGCCGGACGATGCCCTTGCGCTCGTCCGGAGTAACGGCGTTGGTCGCCTCGTCGCGGGTGAGAATGCCGGCTTTGAATGTGATGTGGGCCGAGGGGCGCGCGTTCAGCACGCTGCCAATGCCGCTGTCCGGGGAGAAGAGACTTGACATGTCCATGGTGGCGTTTGCAGGTTGATGTAAGGAGGAGACAGCTGTGCTTTGTGGATGAATGACAAGTAGCGGGAGACGACGGCGATGAGGAATGGATCGCAGGGTAGGAATAGCCGTTAAGGTCGAATCGATCGTTTCTGCCCTGGAACGAGAAACGTGTCGATGGCCGGTCTATCGAAGAGCGATGGGGCCGGATGTGTGGAAATGGGATAGCGACCAAGTCTCGTTCGAGCTGGAACGAGAACCACACTGTAAACTGAGAACCACACTGTAAACTAAGATCAACCAACTGTAATTCGAGACATCCAGATCCCCGCATTCCGATCTACATGATCCCGACCCACTCGATCCCGACCCACTCGATCCCGACCCACTGGATCCCGATGTGACGCCCTCCGCGCAGATCCTTGGCAACGGCAGCGCAGGGTACTTGTAAAATCTCCCTTCGATCGTGCGGCGCGGATATGGCACGTGGAAGCATACTACACCACAGATGCGGCCGCGCCCACGCTACGCGCGCCAAGTGCCGAATCTGCTGTCCTCCTAGCACCAAATGCCCGAAATATCCCCAGGCTGTTGCCCGAAAGATCTGGCGAACAGGCGGCTTTCGCGCGCCCGCCACGGGATACGGGCCCGCCTCCCCGCGCTGATTCCGCCCCTGGTTTCCGCCCCCTGTCAGCAATGCCCGACGGGCAGCCCCCTGGAGGTGCACGGAGCTCGCCCACCCGTGTGCCCATACGCATCTGCCCAGGTGCATTGCAATCCACACCGCTTTGTTTACCCTGCCGTTCACAGCAGCCGCAGCACCGCCCGCCGACTACTAAAAGAGAAACTCCCTCCTCCTCTTCCTCTCCACTTCCCGCCTCACCCGACACTCACCCATTGCCCTTTCTCCTTCTCTAACTTTCCAACCTCCC